GGGGAGGGGCTTGCCTTTCCATCCCTTACTATATCCTCTCTCAAACGGGGGTGGGGTAGCTGCACAGGATGGGGAGGGGCTTGCCTTTTCATCCCTTATCATATCCTCTCTCAAACTGGTTTTCCTTGATTTCAACTAGGGATCTGTCTCACACCTTCTTTGGTCTCCAAAACTTTGGACTTTCCAAAATGATTGTCATTAGTCACCTGACACGGGCTGGAGATGAACACTGGTGTTCACTTCATTGTACTATTTTGGATATTGTTACATTCATTCGGGTATGATGCGTTTGTCAAACTGCAAGTCTGAGCATACAGTCCCTGCAAGACTGCTCTATCTTCAGGTGCCAACTGTAAGTTTAAGGGTCCCCAGGGCCACTTTCATTTCAGACTTGCTGGCTGCAAATTCAGGCTTTCCCAAGCCCACTCTAAGGTCTGATAATTCACCAGACAGATTGAGGATCCACTGAAAGTGCAATGCTTACAGTTAGTTTTATTGTAGAAAAGATACAGATTAGAACCTTCTAAAGAAAGAGATACGTAGGCTGAAGTCTGGGACTGTTCCAAACAAGAACTGTGACATGTTATCCTTTTGGCATGGACATATGGCACTGTGCTCAGAGTATTGGCAAGTAGGGAAGCTCACGGAGCCTCCATGCCTTGAGTTCCCATTGGAGTTTCATTACATAAAAATGATTGCATCATTGATCAAGTGGCCAAACTCAGTCTCCATCCCTTCTGCCCAAAGGTGACCTTTTTTAATAACATGAATGGTCTTTATGGGTGGTCATTAGGCATGACCTACTTCACTAGGAGTCACCTTGTTAGGTTCACTTGAGGTTGAGGGGCCTGCCACAAATAACAAAAACACTCTCCTGGCTGGGGAAATTCCTAGGGTGTAGGGGTTATCTCCCAGGAACCTGAAAAGGCCAAACATCTCTTTGGACTGAGATCAAATTCTTTTTTATACGTTGTTTCATGATAAGAAGGTAACAGCACTGCCAGGAACCTCTTTTTCTCCCAAGTTTCATATGCCATGTATCAATTTAAAATTTCCCACTCCTTCTGTCTCTTATTTTCATTTAGGTTATTTTGAAATAATTAAATCTGGTCTTTAATTGAAGACATTTTCATAAAAGGTAATAAGTTCTTTTGCCCTCCACTTCCAGTCTGATCTTAAGACTGTTTGAGTAATGGTTTACCAAGGGAGACACAATTTGATGTGGTTTGATAGGCACACTTTTTCATTTTACAAAGCATTGCTTGCAGGTACCAGAAGTCTGATTGAAAGGAAGTAAAATTACTGGACCAATGAAACATTAACAAGGTGGGGGGCAATTATGCTAAAGTTATGTAAATAGTTTTAGATTAGTATAAGTCATGTTTTTCAGAGTGGTTGATGGGGCAAAAATTAGATTGCTTATTTATTTGAGACTTAATTTTGATTTGTTTTATTTTTAAAGGTCATAATGGTTGTCTTATTTTGATCCTTCATTTAATTTCTTCCTTGAAGGTTATTACATGAAATAGCAAAGCTAAATTGTACCTTCTTAATGGTAATACAGGACATAAAATTTTTGAATTGGCTTTAGATTTTATACTAAAATGCCTTTTTACCATCTCTTTTATTGTGTTAAAGGCATGTCTTTGTAGTAAGAACTAAACTTAAGGTTATCTTTTGTGTGCTTCTCTGTATTTCCTAGCAGGAAAGTTGGTAAGTTGATTAGCTCACTTATTAAAGTAAGGTGTTACATTTTAAATCAGGCTTATTTTAGTAATATTTTATACCTATTAAATGCCTCTGTGATGATGAAGAATAATTGCTAGGGAAAAGAAAAGTGGCCAAATGTATTCTAGCATCCTGTGCAGTTTAACATTCTTTAAGTTATTTACTTTGTGTTGTCTCTCTTAAGCATGAATTTAATTTTAAAATTAGGTGCATCTATAGACTGAACCATGTAATATACTAGAATTCCATGTCCTTCTTGGGTATCCTTTTGTTTTCTCTAGAGTTTATAACTGTTCCATACTTTCTTTTGCTTGATTACTGTTGTAAAAATATTTAAATATTTGTTTGTCAAGATTCTGGTTGCTAAATCGTTTTTAGCCCGATTTCTTGATGACCAAACATAAAAAAATCGGTTTTGAGCATCTTCTCTTATTTTCTAGTAGGGGCTAGGATAGTGTTCTGAATTAAATAGATTTCTTAATTAGCCTAACAGATCTGAGGTGATCTGAAATTATTTATTTATTTTCTTAAGGAAAGGCTATATTAATGTGTTAAATTAGATTAATTCTGATTTCTAAACTTGAGTCCAGATGATGTAAGGGAATTCAAGTTGTGTGGCATAAAGAATTAAGAACTTTGAAATTTGTAAGTGATCATATTTTTCCTCTTTAGTTAGAATCACGTTGTTACATTGCAGTTTTTACTTTATTGATGCCTTTGACTTTTAATTCTGTTGAGGCTCTAGTTTTGGTTTGATACTGCTTGGAGGCAAGAGAATGGAGATCATTCTTGGAAGTCTTTTATTTTAGATTTGACTCTGAATATATTTGTGCTGTTGATGCAAAATAATAATTGTACCAAGTGCATCATTCATAGTATTGAAGTTCTATCTTGTTAAAATAGTTAACTTGTGTGAGTTCTTACCTGTCTAATGTTCCATTTGATTCTTGAAGTAACATATAAGTCTACTGTTACAGGTTAATTTATGGATATAATATAATAGAGGGAAACTAACATTACAGAGTTACTGAGCTATAATTGACAGTCAAGTTTAAACTGTATACTATGTGCTGATTTGCTACACTGATATATTACAAAATGATCCTAGTGTTAGCTGACACCTTTCATCATATTACTTAATTACGATTTCTTTTCTTTTTTTTTTTTTTTTTGTGGTGAGAAAACTCTACTCTCTTAGCAGCTTTTAGGTATGTAATCTGGTATTATTAGTGATAATCAGCATGCTGTACTTAAATCCCCGGAGCTTATTCAGCTGTACCTTTTGACCAGAACAACTCCCCATGTCCCCTATCCCCAAGTCCCTGGTAACCACTGCTGTGAGTTCTGCTTTTTTACACTCCACATATAAATGAGGTGATACAGTATTGGTCTGACTTCTTTCACTTACCATCTTGAATGTCATGCACTCAAGGTCCATCCATATTGTCACAAATGGCAGGACTTCGTTCTTTTAAATGGCTGAATGACATTTCGTTGGACTTACTTAGCACATCTTCTTTATCCATCTGTTTACTGTATCCATATCTTGGCTGTTGTGAATAGTGCTTCAGTGAACATGTGAGTGTAGATATCTGAGATCCTATTTTCATTTTCTTGGGCTATATGCTCAGAAGTGGGATTGCTGGATCATATGTAGCTCTATTTTTAATTTTTTTGAGTACCCTCTATACTGTTTTTCATAGCGTGTGTACTAACTTACATTCCCACCAGCAGTGTATAAGGATTCCCTTTTCTCCAAATCCTTACCAACCCTTATCTCTTGTTTTTTTTTTTTTAAATGATAGCCATTGATGAGTAACCATGAGATATCTCATTCTGGTTTTGATTTGCATTTTCCTAATGATTAGTGATATTGAGCACCTTTCTTTGTACCTGTGGACGTTTGTGTGTCTTTGGGAAAATGTTGATTGAGTTCCTCTTCCTTTTTTTTTTTTACATTGGATTGGTTTTGTTTTGTTTGTTTTTTGCTGTTGAGTTGTATGAGTTCCTTATGTATTTTGGATATTAACTCCTATCTGCATATGTATTCCTTATCACTCTTCTCTGCATTATGATTTTTTTTCTTACAGGATTTTGTTTTCTAACATACTAGGTATTTGCTTCTCTGTCTTCCATGAGAATTTAAGCTCTGTTAGAGATTTTTTTTCTCCCTTTGGTCTGACTTGGTCACTTTTTGTATCTTTAATACCTGGAATGATCATTAGTGTACATTTAAAGTCTCTATTTCTCAGAAATATGTAGTCTTAGTAGGACAGAGCTTCTGAGATAAAATGACCATGTAAAGTATTTAGCTTGACATGTTGGACATGAAGTACTCATTAATTGTAGTTGTTGAAGGATAAGAAAAGAAAAAATAGAATCAGACATTTCAGATAGAAATAACCTGAATAAGAGAAAACTGCATTCACATCTTAGGGACTAGGGTAGTACTGTTGAGGGGCACACTGGAAAAATAAGGTTGGAAGTATATTGATGCTTTTGAACTGTGGAGTTGGAGAAGACTCTTGAGAGTCCCTTGGACTGCACAGAGATCCAACCAGTCCATCATAAAGGAGACCATTCCTAGGTGTTCATTGGAAGGACTGATGTTGAAGCTGAAACTCCAATCCTTTGGCCACCTGATGCGAAGAGCTGACTCATTTGAAAAGACCCTGATCCTGGGAAAGATTGAGGGCAGGAGGAGAAGGGGACGACAGAAGATGAGATGGTTGGATGGCATCACCGACTCAATGGACATGGGTTTGGGTGGACTCTGGAAGTTGGTGATGGACAGGGTGCCCTGGCGTGCTACGGTTCATGGGTTCGCAAAGAGTCGGACACGACTGAGCAACTGAACTGATGTTGTGGAGACCGAGGCAGTTGGATTTTGTAGTGTCTAATGAGAAGTAATTGAGTATTTTTAAGGCAGAGGTGCCATAATGAAAGTGGTGGGTTTGGAAGATGAGTCCAACAGAAGTCCTTGAGGTTGACTGGAGATCCTTCTGGTGTAGGTTTAACTGGAAATTTAATAAAACATTTAGAAATTTGTAATAAAAAATAAATTTGCAAAGTCATAAGTTACACTCAAATTTTAATGGTTTCCTCTCAAATTGTATAGTAGTATATAATTATGATTTGGTTACAGTGTATATTTGAATTATTTATGGAATTGCCAACTTTTAATATACTTTTCCATTTAAAACTAAAGCTTTCATTTAAAATAAACCAAGATGTTTATATTGGTAACTAACTTACTAAATATACTAATATAGGGCAAAGTATGTTTAGTCCAGCAAACATTGGTCAACCCCGAAAGACAACATTATCTCCTGCCCAGTTGGATCCTTTTTATACTCAAGGAGATTCTCTGACATCTGAAGATCACCTTGATGACACTTGGGTGACTGTGTTCGGGTAAGGTTTCTAGATAATTTACCTTTAAAGCAACAACGTTTTCTAATGAATATTATCAAATATATTTAAAAAAACTAAAATAGTTGCACAGCAGACACTCATTTATCCACGTAGATTCACCTAAATTCATCTTTTTTGTTATTGTTGGTACATTTCAGGGTACGTTGCAGACATCAGTATATATCACCTTGACATTTCTTCTTCTCTTCTCTTGACATTTCTTTCTCTTCTCCACCCAGGGATCGAACCCAAGTCTCCCGCATTGCAGGCAGATTCTTTACCAGCTGAGCCATAAGGGAAGCCCTTGACATTTCAGCGTGTATATTACTTTTTGATTTTTAATAGTTTTTCCATCATTTTTCTGTTTGCCTTTTCTTAAGTTATTTTCTTTTCAGCATATTTGCTGAATATTGGAAGAGGGTTGCCCCAGTAGACTTAGGAAGCCCCTTCCTTTGTTGGAACTGTGTCTATGCTTATATTGGTCTTTACCGATTTTGAACTAACAAGTTGAATTGTATTTGTATATATATGCATACTATGCCACAGGATTGGTACCTACTAGCTGTAGAATATCGAACATTAATAGAAGGTGCATGGCAGTCCTAGATGCATTTGAAAGTGTGATGTCATGCTGTTGCTGGACCTCACTATACTTAGTTTTGGGGTGAAAAATACAAAAACGTGAGCTTGAAGGAGAGAACAATGTACAGGTAGGTGTTAGTGTACTTTATTCAGTTCATTTAAGCTCAGAGGGATGTGTAAGACCGCAGTGAAGTTTTCCTTCTTACCTTTTCCCCAGCAGCTACAGTTTCTCTCCTCGTAAGGTAGTTACTGCCACCTGGTTTTTGTGTCACCTTCCGGAGAGAGTCGTTGCTGATTCTGTTTAGGTAAAAAGCAGGGTCGTTGCTTTTCCTTGCTCTCCAGAAAGCCCACCCTCAGCCCTGTGTCCACAGCCATTGGGCTGACTGCTGCTGCTTTTTATTTTTTGGTGTTTGTGTGTAAATTTTTGTGTTCTCTCATGAAGTGCTTGTCGGTATGTTTTTGAATGTATCTGTCCACTCAAGTGTGTTTTTCAAGTTGAGTAGTAATGGTGTCACTTTTAAGCTTCCTCAGTAGTTGGATAAATTAATTGAAGTATTATACTTCTGTTAGTCCTTCATTGTTAAGACTTATCCTTTCCCACCCATATATTTTCTGTTGGTTTTATATTTTAGTAACCCTGCTTATGAGTTTAATTGCAAGAACGGAAACATTTTCTTCTAAGGGATAAAATATCTTTTGATTATTTATAGGGAAATACAGCTAAAAAGTACAGTTAAAATGCATTCTATATGTTCTTCCTTTGATGATTTGACTTTTTCCTTCTGACTCAGGGTCATCATGAAATAACATTAATTTTTTTAGGGTAATGATTTTTAAAAAACTTTAATTGTAGGACAGTTTCTTAACAGTGTTATGTTTGTCTCTGCCGTACAAGGTGAATCAGCCGTAAGTATACATACATCCCCTCCCTCTTGAGTAGGGTGATTCTTTGACAGGATATATTGGACTGTTTCTCCAGAGTGGTCCTAGACTCTTAGGTTTTACTTCTCAGGTGCCTCCCTCAGGTGCAAACTACTTCTCTCTCTGGTTTTGGTATGTTTTAGTACTGCTGTGCAGTCACCCCGACTTTTTTGTTCTTTTCTTTGGAGTTAGAAACCTTATATCCAAACTTGCATAACATAAAATAAATTTCCAATCTTGAATGCAGTATTTTAGTCACATGGATTTTAATATGTGCAGAGTTTCTTATTTATTTTTGTGACTCACATTTTTTCCTTTAAATTTCTAACTCAAGCTCCAGATAACTGAAGTTATTGGTTAAGGAAACTCCAGATTTTCAAGTTGAAAATAGCTTTGTTATTTGAACTATCAAACTTATATCTCATTGTGATAGTCAAGACATTCAGCGCTTTATGAAGAAGAAAGTAAAAATCACTTAGAATTTTCCATACGGAAATAAGGCCATTTAAAATTTTGGTAGCCATCTTTTAATTGATTGTTTACCATTGATTCTGGTTCTGAGTTTTTGTTTAAGGAACACATTTTTGTATTTTCAGATGGTGCTCAGTATATATTGATATGACTCTGTATAATATAAAGTTCTTTGCTCTTTAATAACCGTAGTAGTATATCTCAGTGTTTCTCCACCCCCCTCACAAGCATGTATGCACATACACATACCCATGTAAAATAAGTTATATGCAGAACTGTGACTTGAATTTTAGAAATTTCAGGGGGGTGGAATTTGGAGATGGAAAAAAGTGGCTGAGTCAGAACTAATTTTAACATAATTTGCTTTTGGGTGATGGGCAAATGAATAGATTTAACTAATAATAGAGGAAAGCAGAATGATCAAGGGTCTCTTATTAATGTACTAGACAATTGGGGGGTGTTTATCTTGAAATGCTTGTAAGTTAATTTACATTCGTCATTATTGAAGTTGATTGGGCAAGTTTTTTTTCCCCAGGTTTCCTCAGGCATCTGCTTCCTATATATTATTACAATTTGCACAATATGGGAATATCTTAAAACATGTGGTAAGTCTTAATTCGTTTCAGTTCAAATTTAAGCTGAGGAAAGATTAATCTGTGAATTTGCTGCTGAATGTCTTAAAAGTTTTTCTTTCTTTTTTAAAATTTTCAAAGAATATATCTGTTGGAGTCTGACAGGCTGGAAGTTGCATAGTATTTGATAAAAAGAGGTAGGGAACATAAGTAAGTGAGAGTTTCAGGCTTCCCCCCTTTTAAAAATAGTTAACAGTCTCTTAAAAAAGATTATGAAAGTTTTCCAATTTGAGCTTGTTTTATTGGGGTAAATGAAAACGAAAAGGATATTTCTTACTTAGAGTTCTTAGAGTTTCTTTAGTTTTTCAGAGAGCTTTTTTTTCTCTTTAAATTACCTTGCACAATAAATTATAAATAACAAATCTTTTTTTTATTGCTAGAGATTGACTTGTTTAACTCCTACAAAAAAATCAGATCGATGAATACAGTTTTAAAAAAATTTCATAGCAAGTGTGGATAAGACATTTTTGTAAGAAACAATTATCTTTTGAGAATTACTTTGCTTTTAGAGAATATTTGCCACATATTCTTTATTTAAGAGATAGAGATACTGAAATTGTTTAAATAGAATTTTTGTTGAATTCTAGTATACAGCTTTTACTGGGCATCAGATAAAAACTAAAAGCAGATTTATTATGTATGTTTCTATTTTCTAATAGAAAATTTGAATTTTATATACTTTATATTTTAATTTAAGAAAAAAACTTCATTTTTTGCAGATGTCTAACACAGGAAATTGGATGCATATTCGTTATCAATCTAAATTGCAGGCCCGGAAAGCCTTGAGCAAAGATGGAAGAATTTTTGGAGAATCTATCATGATTGGTGTAAAACCATGTATAGATAAAGTAAGTTATTGCTGATGTATGGAAAACAGCTTAATTTATATGAAGAACACAGAGCTAAGTACTAACATTGGTGGCGTGCCACTTTGCTTCACTGTGCTGCTGTTGCTTAGTTTTTAAAAATGTGATGGATGATGTTATAGCACTCTTTTATGCTAAGTCAAAGATATTTAGTCACAATACTCTAGACATAATATATCCTAATCCCTTCACTCTACAGGTAAAGAGGTCAAGAGGTCTTAGGTAACTTACCCAGGGTTGTTAAAGTGAGGCTTACATTCTAGGTCTTTTAACTTTTAACCCATTCCCTTTTTTGCACAAAGCAACATCAGATTCCTTAAGTACTTTAAAGGAGTGGTGCTATTTCAGAATGAAATATTCCATATGAATGGTAACTGAGGGTTTCTTTAGAAAGACTGAAGCTTTTTTTTTTAATGTAGTATCAAATAGATTTATTTATATATATATTTTAAAACTTCCTAAAAAATGTGTTTATTTATTTGGCTGTGCCAAATCTTAGTTGCAGCATGTGGGATCTAGTTCCCTGACCAGAGATTGAACCTGAGTCTTAATGCACTGTCAGTGCAGAGTGTAGCCACTGAACCACCAGGGAAGTTCCTAACTTTTCGTTTTATGTTGAAATATAGTTGATTAATAATATTGTGATAGTTTCAGGTATACAGCAGAGTGATTCAGTTATACATACACATGTGTTTGTTCTTTTTCAAATTCTTTCCACATTTAAATTATTACATAATACTGAACAGAGTTCCCTATGTTATATAGTAGGTCCGTCCATGTTGATTGTCCATTTTAGAGATATCATTGTGTTCATGTCCCTGTAACTATCCCTTCTGCCTATCCTTATCCCGGCAACCATAAGTTGATTCTCTTAAGTCTGTGAGTATCTTTCTGTTATCTAGGTCCTTTTGTATGTTTTAAAATTTCATTTATAGGTGGATACCATATGATACCATATGATACTTATCTTTCTCTATGTGACTTACTTAGTATGACAATCTCAAGGGCTGTCTGTGTTGCTGCAAATGGCATTATTTCATTATTTTTAATGGCTGAGTAATACTCCATTGTATATATGTGCCACCTCTCTATCCATTCCTCTGTCGATGGACATTTAGGTTGCTTCCATGTCTTGGCTGTTGTAAGGTGAAGCTTTTTGTTAGTGATTTCTGTTTTAAAATATTTAAATAATACTATATGTTTATATGGGGCTTCCCTGGTGGCTCAGATAGTAAAGAATCTGCAGTGCAAGAGATCTGGGTTTGATCTCTGGGTCAGGAAGATCCCCCTGGAGAAGGGAAAGGCTACCCACTCTTGTATTCTTGCCTGGAGAATTCCATGGACAGAGGAGCTTGGTGTGGGCTACAGTCCATGGAGTTGCACTGAGTTGGACGTGACTTAGTGACTCATGTATACACATACAGACATATATCTATATACGTTTAAATAAACTGAGTACACTTTAAACTTTTCTTTTTAGCTTGTAAAATCATGATCATTCTTTACTATATGTGAACTTTACCTACCAGGCACTGTGCTTGGTACTTATATATCTATATCAGTGCATGAATTAGACGTGGCTCCTGTTACCATAATCTTAGGTTGCTGAGCAGTTGTGTGATTATTACATTGTGCTGTAACAGATCATCGTAGAGGCTAGAGGAAAATTTGGGGTTACTGGGTATAAAATAGCATTGGACTTTGATCCCCTACCCACCTCAGCTTCCCCTAAAATTCTCTTGTCTTTCTTACTGATTTTCCATTGTGTTTGTTAGGAGAGTCTTACTCTTGAGAGTTGATATTTGAGGTCATTCCAGTGAGATTTCTGTTTGAGCATTAGGTCTCATATGCTAGCTAAGAAGCAGGTATTGTTTTATCAAGTCTAAAATTAGTGAAAGGTGAATTAGATCAAATAAAGTATGCTTCTTTTAATGATGTTTTCTTTGGATGTAATAGTGGATAAGATGTTTTATGTTAATAAACAGAAGTTCTTTATTTCTCCAGAGCGTCATGGAAAACAGTGACAGGTGTGCTTTATCATCTCCATCTCTTGCCTTCACACCACCGATCAAAACCTTAGGTACACCAACCCAGCCTGGAAGTACTCCTCGGATTTCTACCATGAGACCTCTTGCTACAGCATACAAAGCTTCTACTAGTGACTATCAGGTATTTTAAGGATTGGATGGAAGAACATACTTTAAAGGCTGCAGTGCATAGTGTGTTTGTTTAACTTTTTCATTGGGTTGATTTGTATGCCATTAAATGCCATTAAATATTTCCTATTGAAATTGATTATCTTGATGAAATCAATACACTTTGTGTTTTTAAATTTTCTATTTTGCGAATTACAATTTTGGCCAGTGGAAATTTATCTTGAATTTTCCAAAAAAATCGTCGTCATTTTAAAAAACATTTTGAGAGTTGTTATTTTAGTTTTTTCTAAGTTATGTTTGTATATATAAAAAGTTTCTTGTGGACATCTCTGGCATGAGAAAATGTTAAAACTATATTAGTTGATAACTAAATCTGATGGTATCACAAATGAAGAACCTTAGATTGGAAGCAAGCAGTTTTGGTGATCAAAAGAAAACATTGCCCAGCTCCCATTTCAAAACTTACCATTTCAAAAAAGCTTAAAGGAAAAGTTCATTATGTTTATTGAAGAATACTAGAAATATTATGTCTCTCATTCAGTATATAATTGTCTTTTGCTTAATTAGCCAGGAGTTCTAAACTTGCCCAGCTACAGACACAAGTCCTAAGACAGCAAATAAGACACTTTAGTAGAGCAGTTGGACTTCCCCTTGAAATTTGGGGATCATTCTAGAACTGGCTTAATTTTTCCTTTTAGTTGTTTTTTTTTTTTCTTTTAATCATCATTGTAAAGTCCTCGTCTCCTGTAGCTTTAGTGTTTGTTCATTTTACTAATTGGGCAGCAGATGCACTTTGCTTTGCCGAAGGAGTATAATTCTGCCATTCTTAAAAACATATAGATCTTCTAACTAAGCCTGTGTTTTAATCTTTAAATATGCAATTTAGTGCTACAAATCCATTTTAGTGTTTGGTACTTCAAAATTAGCTGTTAACTCTAGAATTTACTCTGACACTAAAACCATAACCATACAATTTTATGTATGTGTGTTTTTTTGATAGGTGATTTCTGACAGACAAACACCAAAAAAAGATGAAAGTCTTGTATCCAAAGCAATGGAATACATGTTCGGCTGGTAGTGTAGGAAGAGCTGAGACGTCACGTACAAAGGAGAAGACTGCCACACTAAAGCAGAGTTAGCAGGGTGCTGCTGGGATTCTTCGGTTAGTTATATAACCACTCTTGACAGTGTCGTATAGCTGTCTCATACTTCCTTTGGAAGCTTTTTTCTTTAAGAATATAGCATACTTGTAGCTCGCACTTTAAAAGATGCTTGAGATACATTTTAAAGAAACAAATCCCTGTAAAGAAGATTTTGGGCTCCCTGTGATAGTGCATGATTAACTGCAAAAAATCATTGATTACTGTAAATTATATAATTGAGTTTATAGTGAAGCTTTGTAGTCTTCATAAGTTGGTGAGGTGAATTTCATGAAGGGTAACTACAGCTGCTTCTAACAAGACACAAAGATTATAATTAACAATTTGAATTAGGGTCTTTTAATTTAGATAGTATTTAATATTTTAATTATCCTTGTTTATATTTGTCCTGGATGATCATCTTTCAGTCTTGTAAAGCCAATGCAGTCTTTTAAAAAACCGAAGTTTCTTGATAATAAACTTGTCAATTATATGTATTGAGCAGTTTTTGAAAGTGATTTCTTAATTAGTACAAAAAGTTTGAAGTCTTTGCAGAAATAGAGAAACTATGTCATGAACCTTCATCTGCCTATAATCCAGCTTTCATAACCGTGTAACTATTTTGCCATGCTAGTTTAATCTCATTCTTTTGTTTAAAGTATATCTGAGATGTGATTTTAAATACTTGAGGTTATATCAAAGAAAGAATATTTCCATATGTAATTACAATGTCAGTGTCTCACCTGAAAGAAGAATTTCTTAAGTTCTAATATCTAGTCCTGTAAAAACGTTTTCCAATTGTTTCCAAAATTTGTTTCAATTTTACAGTTGGTTTGAGTCACTATTGAGACCACATCTGCACAGTGTGTTTGGTTTTGTCTTTGGAGTGTCTTGAAGTTTAAATCAGAGTTTCCCTGCTCTTCTCCACTGTTCAGTAAACCTTGACTTGTGAAAGTACCATGTGAGTTGCCTCTGTAGTGTCCCTCGGAGTAGTTTTTTTGTTTTACTTATTCTGTCATTTGTCCCGTATCCTAGATGTTATATCTAGAGAAGGTTAATTAGATTCTGATCTCATTTTTTTGAGGAAGAATACTTCATGGTAGTATGGGATACTTTATGTTAAACCAGGGGACATTTAGTTCTGGTTGTCCCACTTTTAATAATCCTGAGGTTGGTCATTGGGCAAAAAGCCAGACACTATCATTGGAAAGGTCCCCATTAACTTTTTATATAACATTTTTAAAAGTTTGCATGAATCAGTTATTTCATTAAGGTTTGTAAAATGATGCTTTTCTTTCATTCATGTTGCATTTATTAGCTGTAATTATTTTCATATAGAAGAACTTTGGGCCATCCACTAGGGCTGTTTGGTTATCATGGAATACATTCATGCCAGGATGCCAGGATAAATATTTAATTTGTTTCCTTTATCAATTTTTAGAGTAATTTTTGGTGCCCTGGCAACCTCCACTGCTGTTCTGAGTTAAAAAAACAAACTTTTTTTATCCTTTTGTATCATATGTACTTATGGCTTTAAGGTTTTTTTTTTTTTTTTTTAATTCACTGTTTCAATTGCTTGCAGACATTGTCTTACTCAAATTATCCTCCTTGACCAGTGAAAACCTCCTCAAGCTGGCACTTGTATGAAAAGGAAGTTTTAATTGACATAATATTTCACCACAGAACATGTCTCTAGGTAGTCTGCATCTTTCTTTATATAAAGAATAACTAAAATAACACATTGTGTGGAAGGTTTTGATACCCTTTTTAAATTGCAGTAAACTACTGTGAAGACTTGTTTAGTTCTCTGAGATGAAGTGATACTAAAGAGTGTACTGGGATAGATGAAAATCTATTTATCATTACATTTATAAAGTACTTTTTATCTGAAACTTTAAAAATCTTTTCCAACTTTTAAAATAGGATTGTATTTTATATCCTGTTTCATTACATACAGAACTCAGTTATTCAAGGTAGAACTGGATACTTCTCCCATTAAAACTGTTGGATTTGTATTTGAGTTACATTTTTGTAAAAGGGCTGTGGATTTTTGTTTTGAGAGGGCATTTTATTTTCTTAGACCTCTGTGGAGCATGAAGTTTGCTTTCTAACTCAAAATATTTGTTTGCTGTGTTTGAGTTTGTTCTTTTTACCCAGTATTGTCTCTGACCTATCTTCGTATATATCGTATCATTTATTTAAAGAGAGCCAGGAAATAGATGACATATTTGAGTATGTGTGTGTGCAGAATTGTTGGATGTTTTCACAGATGAACTGTGGTTTTATTGTTGTTTAGTCGCTAAGTCGTGTCCAACTTCTTGCGACCCCATCGACTGTAGCACGCCAGTCTTTCCTCTCCCTCACTGTTTCCCATAGTTTGCCTGAGTTCATGTCCATTCAATCAGTGATGCTATCCAACCATCTCATCTTCTCCTTTTGCCTTCAGTCTTTTCCAGCATCAGGGTCTTTTCCAGTGAGTTGGCTGTTTGCATCAGGTGGCCAAAGTGTTGGAGCTTCAGCCTCAGGCCTTCCAATTAATATTCAGGGTTGATTTCCTTTAGGGTTGACTGGTTTGATCCCCTTACTGTCCAAGTGACTCTCCAGAGTCTTCACCCACACCACAATTCGAAAGCATCAATTCTTAGGTGGTCAGCCTTCTTCATGGTCCAACTCTCACATCTGTACGTGACTGCTGGAAAAATCATAGCTTTGACTGTACTGACCTTTGTCAATAGAGTGGTGTCTTTGCTTTTTAATACGCTGTCTAGATTTGTCATAGTTTTCCTTCCAAGAAGCTAGCGTCTTCTAATTTCATGACTGCAGTCACCATCCACAGTGGTTTTGGAGCCCTAGAAGAGAAAGCTGTCACTGCTTCCACTTTTCCCCCATCTGTTTGCCATGAAGTGAAGGAACTGGATGCCATGACTTTAGTTTTTTGAATGTTGAGTTTTAAGCCAGTTTTTTCACTCTCCTTCACCCTCATCAAGAGGCTTTTTAATTCTTCTTCGCTTTGCCATTAGAGTGGTATCGTTTGCATATCTGAGGTTATTGATATTTCTCCCGACAGTCTTGATTCCAGCTTGTAACTCATCCAGCCCAGCATTTCACGTGACGTACTCTGCATATAAGTTAAACAAACAAGGTGACAGTATACGGCCTTGTCATACTCCTCTCCCAGTTTTGAACCAGTCAGTTGTTGCATGTAAGGTTCTCACTTTGCTACTTGACCTGCATACAGGTTTCTCTAGAGACAGGTAAGATGGTCTGATATTCCCATCTCTTTAAGAATTTTACACAGTTTGTTGTGATCCACACAGACAAATGCTTTCGTATAGACAATAAAGCAGATGTTTTTCTGGAACTCTTGCTTTCTCTGTGATCCAGCAAATGTTGAAAATTTGATCTCTGGCTCCTCTATCTTTTTCTAAACTCAGCTTATACACCTGGACATTCTTGATTCAAGTACTGCTGAAGCCTAGCTTGAAGGATTTTGAGCATAACCTTACCATGGGAAGTGAGTGCAGTTGTCTGGTAGTTTGAACATTCTTCAGCCCTGCCCTTTTTTGGAATTGGAATGAAAACTGACCTTTTCGAACCCTGTGATCACTGCTGTGTTTTCCAAATTTGCTCACATATTTAGTGCAGCACTTTAATAGCATCATCTTTTAGTATTTTAAATAACTCAGCTGGAATTCCGTCACCTCCACTAGCTTTACTGGTAGTGATGTTTCCTAAGGTCCACTTGACTTCACACTCCAGGATGTCTGGCTCTAGGTGAGTGAGCACACCATCATGGTTATCTGGGTCATCAAGACCTTGTTTGTACAGTTCTTCTGTGTGAGATCTCTCCACTATGATCCGTCTGTCTTGGCTGACTGCATAGCATGGCTCATAGCTTCATTGAGTTACACAAACCCCCCCTTTGCCACAACAAGGCAGTGATCCATAAAGGGAATGGTTTTATTACTATTTTTTGACAATAAGAGTGAAGAAATGTAGAAATGTGTTTAGGAGCTTAAGTTCTGCAAAGAAACCAATCTTAGTTAAAAAGGTAGTAATCTGTAGCTTCAAAGTTTGCAGTTAAATCCCCTCATTCCTTTCTGAAATGTTTTTGCCTTTTTCCCCAAGATGTTAATTAGATTTCATAAAGTGTTGTAAAACTAAGGAGCACTTCCCCTTCCATCTCTCCTGTTGCTACCTGATCTTAACTCTCTCTCTTTTATTTTTTTTTAGTATATGTGCTGCCAAAGCGAGCACAATCTTAACTCTTTTAATGTTCCTATCATTCATTTGTCAAATGTTTACTGAGTGTTTATTTTGTCTTATTCATTGTGCTTTTTGCTGTAGATTGAGGCGTGGGACTTTGATCTTTTCCCCTGAGATTAAAGATGATTAATTTATTTAGTGTTCACTCCCTTGCCATTTTCACTCTTGTTTACCCAAAGTTTGGGCTTCCCAGGTGGTGCAGTGGTAAAGAATCCTTTTGCCAGTGCAGGAGCAAGAGATGCAGTTTCATCCCTGGACCAGAAGATCCCCTGGAGTAGGAAATGGCAACCCACTCTAGTATTCTTGCCTGGAAAATTCCATGGACGGAGGAGACTTGTGGGCTGCAGTCCATAGAGTTGCAAAGAGTCCGACGCGACTGAGCACGCGCACACACACCCAGAATTTACCTTGTTTACCCCTCTTTAGTCTCACTACCTGTATCGGTTCTCCAGCCCCCCTCATCTTTCCCCACACTATGAAGAAAGAATAATAGAAAAAATAGAATACTAGAAAAAGACAAACTGTTGTGTTGCATTGTGATTTTTAAATCAAAGTTTAAGTTTGATGTACAGCTTTATTATCTTCTAACTTGAACATAAAGGAAAGGTTATGGCCAGTGACAAATCTTGAGCTAGATGACTTTGTGTTTTGATTTTTTTTTTTTCCCTTTTCA